ATCATATAAAAGATCGTTATTCCCATTCTCCCGATGCAGACTTCGTAGTAACTATCTCGCTGGCAAGAAAGAAGGGCTACTATGATAAGGCCGCAGGTGTGGTGAGGGAGTGGAAAAGCTTCGTAGTTTATTTTTCTACGGTTCCTTCGGGCTAGGGTTAGTGTCATTTCCACTACTTTTGGGAGTGTTATGATCAGCCAAGCTCGACTGCCTGACCTTAGAGAAGATGAATTAGACTGCCTGATAGACTACTACTTCCTTTTCTTACCCGGCCAAAGTGGGGGATGGGATTGCTCGTATTATAGGTCTTGGTGAAATAATGTCAGGCGAATTAGTCGTCGGGGCCAGTTTTAAGCTTTCAGAGAGTGGTCATCATACCCTTGCTTTCAGGCTTGGGCTTGGCGGATCCTCTAAGTAATGGGTACGTAGGTTTTGTGGCCGGATTCCCTACAAATAAATTATGTATTAAGAAATGAAGGAAGAGTGCACGTTCGGACCTCAACTAGTCTCCATGCTCGTCGGGGCCAGTTTTAAGCTTTCAGAGAGTGGTCATCATACCCTTGCTTTCAGGCGCGAGTAGCTCTTCTAGTCGGGCAGCTGTGTGACAACACTCCTGAGAAAGCGGCGCGAGACTTTTTCAAGGAAACATCGTCAGTGTGACTACTGCCAATCCATGTTAAGGAGGAGCTCTCTATCTTAAATCGTCGCAGTCCTTATCGATGTCAAGATCGTCGCAGTCCTTATCGATGTCAAGGAGGAGCTCCATCCTAGATCGTCACAGATGTAGGACAGGAGAGTATCGACATCTGTGATGCCTATACACGCCATGCAAATTCAGGAGAGTATCAACATCTATGACACCTATAGAAGGATGACAATTTATAGAAGGATTGCACTGAAATCTTGATTGCTAGCAAAAGAATGTTCCTTTTTTTTTACAAAGCAAGTAATTACGGTTGATGACCAAATTTGGTAAATCATGCATCAAATTCGAAGCTAAGATCAAAGCTGATTTGGCGAAAGATTGTTTCTTAGAAGCAGAGGACGTATCGGCTACGGAAGGTATCGGCTAACGACTGCATCGGCTGACATTGGATCAAACAGAGAACAGCCGATGTAGCCGATCTTGGTAAGGTAGTTCTAGAATCATCTTCGGGATCGATTGACGTGCTACACAAGTATTTCCATGATTGGGATAAGCCCACGGAGGGGCAATTGTATCTATTAATTAGAATATTTTGAATAGTTTATTTAGAGATATTTGTTGGCAAGAGTCTGCCTAAAAGACTTGTTCGTATATTACGGTTGTAACAGATTTGGAGTCATGTCCAGCAAGGACATATTATGTATTTTGGGTACAAATATGACCCAAGACCATGTAAATAACAACAACAGTTCAATAACACATTTGGCGTATCGCCACCTTTTTCTACTTTCATTGTTTCAATGAGTTCTTGCTTTCGAGTTGGGCTGCATCGGGTTTGATCTCCGACAAGAGGTAAATCTTGTCATGGCGGCTTGCGTTCTCGGGATTAGTGCTTACATATTTATGATACTCTAATCTTGGTTATGTAAATCGTCGAGTTATTATCACATGTACTATATAATCTTTATGAATATTGCTATCTAACTCTAAATTGGCTAACATCTACCATCAGAGGACAGCCGATAGGGTTAAATATCAATGTTGATGATTATATAGTATATTTACCATCTCATAGAGGTTTTCATCAACTTGTTCAGATCTTATGTTTCTTTTTATGCTTAATGCTGCATCGGTTAGGTTCGATCTATTAAGTAATATCTAGAACCATAATATTTAGCTTGTCTTATGATCATTGATAGAGATAGTATTAGGGTTTCAGCCGATCTTACCTAATTTAATTATCTTGCCCTCTATATGTTTACTTGATATGCTAAATCTGCCCTTTATATTAAGATCTTATTACATTGAAATATATTAGGCGTATTGTTTCGTACATTTTGTCCATTTTAAACATCTTGGTATAAGGTGATATCGGAGTACTAGCCGATACATCTTAGATTTACTTCATCGGCTATGCTATGAATATATATAATCTTTGTCTTAAAGTACTTTTAAACACAAGTGATTTATACTGTCTCGGCTCACTGTCCGATCTATCCTAATCACTTGGTTTAAATATATTTTTAGGAATAGATTATATATTATTGATATCTACAGCCGATCGAGTAGATTTAACTTTATCTTGCTTTATTCTTCATTGCCGATCTAATGCAAATAATATCGGCATAATATTAAACAATATGTCATCGGCCTCTAGCTGATCGGCTATCGTTTATGGATTTAACCTTGTTTTCTTGTTTTTCTTTTCTTGTTGATTGTAGGATCAAATCAACTGGCACGCCTTTTAATCCGAAAGCAAGATTTAGCACCTGCACTGGAGCTAAGCAGATCTCCTAGGCCAGTATGTATTTTTTGCATCAACAATTACCCAGCATTTTGGAGAAAGCCAAAAGAATGAAAAACAGAGTCTTTCAAAAGAATCCAAAAGAGATTGTTTGTTATAAACATGTTACTGATGAATCCTGAATTTCATCTGTTGTTGCAATCGTGTTGGTTTAGTTAAAATATTGATTTGTTGTTCTTCCAAATACTATACATAATCTCTTCAAGGTGTACTTTCATGGTCATAGGTATATATTAGTAGTACATTTAAGCCTAACTTTTCTGATTTCTAGATAATGTGAAACTTCCGGTACTACTTTTGCTGAAGAAACAGTCTTTGATCAATATTAATATCGGTATGTATCATATTAAAGCTTATTACTTTCAGTTACAGAATGGAACGGTAGAAACTCAGATTTCAGAAAGAACTGATATATATAGCACATATATAAATTCAGATTTCAGAAAGTACTCTGTACTATTCAAAACAGAACTGTAAAAATTCAGATTTCAGACAGATCTGAGATATAGTACTTATAAAAGAATAAGAGATTTGCTTACTGTTTCGAGCATCACAAAATATCCACCCTAGATTGTTATTTTTTAATTATCAGCCTTGGATGTATAATTCATCGTCACAATTCATTAACTCAACAGTTCGTCATTTCAAAGAAACAGAAACTAAACTATGATGGAAAATTATATCTTGAGGAAAACAACATGATATTACCAAAATATACAGATTCAGTATGCCAATTTCTTCAGTCCTAGAAAATGCCCAATTATTTTACAAAAGAACAATCTTTCATAGTCTTTGTTCCGCTTTGCCGACTAACTTTTATAACAAAGCCTCTAACACTATGTTCATCAGCCAAGCATTATCCTCCAAGAAAAAAGCTAAGCGAAGAATGCTTTGGTAAATCAGTTGTTCGGACCCTCAGGGTTGGTATATATATGAAAGAAGCTAGTAAAAGCATACTAGTATCAAAATATGAACAACGTCATGGAGTATTGGGGCAGTGAACATGTCTAGATAAATGATAAAATTATAGGCTTAAAAAGAATAAAAGTGGAAGGTACAATATGGTGACAGATCAAATAAAGATAATTTTCTCGCATCATTTACCTGATATGGTGGTAATTAAGATTATTTGGCTGCTCCATAGATGAAGGATTCTTTTTTCTTTTCATGTTGTTCCTACATCAATGGAGATTGGATGTCAATTCATATTAATGCGAGAGGGAGGGTGTTGTGTGTTCGTCGCGCTTTGATTTATTTTGCTAGAGAGAAACATCTAATTTTATCAATTACTTAGCTGTTAATTAATCATTGTGATGGGACAAGCCATGCAGCCATTGATCCTACTATCTGTGGTATGGATGAAAGCAACCTCAAAGACTGCATTTGGTCTCAATGGCAGAGGATGTGGACCCAACCCTGAGCATTCATCGAATAAGCATTGATTTCAACATAAAGTTGTGATGACGGCTTTGTCAGTTATGAAAATTCCCCCTTATCCCTTGTATGTATATATAGTGCATAGAAGTCCTCCGTGTTTGATACCATATAATATTCTCACAGGGAGAAGATAGATGAATTATTATCTGAATTTATTCCACTTTTATTCGAGATATTAGAGAAAACCAAACAAAAACATCCATACGGCACATAAATACCCATGTTCAGGTTTAATTCACACATGCTGAGCTGAGTTAGATCACTCTCTCAATCATTATTTATGTTATGAGTGGTCACTGGTACAGAGAGAGGCTGCCACTGCGAGGGAGGAGCACGAAGCCCTCGGGCGTCGTTGTCGCTGGATCTAAGGGCAGATTTACCATAGGGGCGGGGTCTTGGACCCCACTACCGCGAGACCACCATGGTGACCTCCAATTCCCCACTCTCCCAAATCCCTAGGCGGAATTGGTAGTTGGTAATCTACTATCTTTCAAAAGTTCAAAACTGTGTCTTTCAAGTTCAGTGAGGTAGTGATTGAAATTTATAATTGTTTTCTATACATTACAAGATAGTCAATATGTCAAAAAGAACATTGCTCACGTATTATTCTAGTTCAAGAAACACAAATACCAGTGATCCTTCACACAATAATGAGAGTGTAAGTCAACCAAAGAGGCCTAGGGCAAACCCATTGAAGCAAATCTACATGAAATTAGAGATCTAGTAAAGAGGGCATATGCATTGAGTGGTCCAACTTAACCTGATATTAGTATATTTCCTCGTAAATGGCAATGTGGTGAATGGGTATCCTTTCAAAAAACTTGGTTCAATGAGTTTGATTGGCTAGAGTATAGGGTTTAAAAGGATGCATCTTATTGCTGGTATTGTTACCTTCTCTTTGAATCGGGAAAACCTGAAAATTTTGGAAGGTTATGTCAATTGGAAGAAAGCTTAAGATATGCTTACTTTACATAGTAATTGCAAGACTCACAACGATGCTAGGAAAAAATATGAAGACTTTATGAACCAAAGAACAAGTGTATACTAGAAAAATTGAGATTGTTAGCAAAAAGGAAGAAATTCGATACAAGATTTGCTTGACATCTTCTTTAGATGTTGTAAGGTTTCTCATTGAACAAGGTGATGCTTTTCGTGCATATGATGAATCTAATACTTCCCTTGCTGCTTTTTGTGGACATGATGAATCTGATACTTCCCTTCCCTCAGCAAGGGTAAATTTAAAGAGATGGTTGATTAGTACAAATATAAGGTTCCTGAGATGAATGGTGCATATGAAAAGGGTCTTAAAAATTTCCAAATGTTATCACATCATATTCAAAAGGACCTTACTAAACCTTGTGCAAAAAAGGTGACAGCAGTGATTATGGATGAGATTGGAGATAGAAATTTATGTGCGCTTATTGATGAGTCTCGAGATGTATCAATTAAGGAGCAAATGGGTGTCATCTTGAGGTAGTAGTTCGCACTATGTATTTTTATATGGTTTAGTTTTTCAAATTCTATTATAAGTACTAACTTAAAAATAATTGTTGTTGTGCAGATTTGTGAATGATGAAGGAAAAGTGATGGAGAGGTTTCTTGATCTTCAACATATTGAGAGATGTACCGCTATTGCTTTGAAGGAAGCTTTATTTGGTATGCTTTCTAGTCATAAGTTAACCATTTCTAAGATTTGGGGCAAGGTTATGACGGAGCTTCTAATATGAGAGGGGAATTTAATGGTATGCAGAAATTGATTCGGGATGAAAATCCTTATGCTTTTTATGTCCATTGTTTTGCCCAACAATTACAGCTAGTAGTTGTTGTTGTTTCAACTTCTACACCAGCAATTGCAGATTTTCATAATTATGTGCCTTTAATAGTCAACACAGTGGATGCATCTTATATGCAAAAGGTTGCCTTGTTGCAAAGCATCATGATGTATTGTTAGAAAAGGTGGAGAATGGTGAGATTACCACTAGAAGTGGTCTGAACCAAGAAAGTAGCCTAGCTAGGCCTGGAGATACTAGATGGGGGTCACATTTTAAAACTTTGTTTCGTATTTTGGTAATGTGGGAGGCTATCATAGATGTACTTGAGATTGTTAGGAAAGATTCTACTAAACCAACATTTAATGGTGGAGCATTTGGTTTGATGGGTAAAATGCAAAGGTTTGATTTTGTATTCATCATGCATTTGGTGATAGACATGTTGAGCATTACAGATGACTTGTCACGTGCTTTGCAAAGAAAGGACCAAGATATTGTTGAGGCAATGAGTTTGCTCAAGGATGTGAAAGAGCTCTTGCAGGAGAATGGATGGGAACCATTATTGAATAGGGGGATTTCATTCTATAATAAACATGTGATTAAAGTGCCAAAAATGGACAAGGAAGTAAATGAAAGAGGGGCATCTACACGTCGAAGGCACAAGGTAACAAATAAGCATTACTATCATGTTGAGATCTATCTTGCAGCCATCGATGCCATTTTGGTTGAAATGAATCATCGCTTTAGTGAAGTTAGTTCAGAGCTATTAGTATGCATGTCATCTCTTAATCCACATAATTCCTTCTCCAATTTTGATGTGGATAAGCTTGTGAAGCTTGCTGAAATTTATGTTGAAGCTTGCTGAAATTTATGTTGAAGATTTTTTGGTTGGTGATCTTATGCTACTACGGACTCAACTTAGAAATTTTATTAGCAATGTTAGGAGAACTAAAGAATTTCTTGGATGTAAAGATCTTGCAAAGGTTGCTGAATTAATGGTTCAGATTGGAAAGAACAGAACTTATCACTTGGTGTATAGGCTCATTGAGTTATCATTGATACTTCCGGTGGCAATGGCTTCGGTTGAGAGGGTCTTTTCAGCTATGTGTCTTACAAAAAGATTTGCGAAACAAAATGGGGGATGAATGACTAAATGACTAGATGATTTGTTACACTGAGAAGCAGATTTTTAGAAGTATTAGTGATGAAAAAATCATCCAACACTTTGAAGAGATGAAAAGGCGTCGGACGTTATTGCCTCAACAAAAATGAGTGGTATGCTCCATGCCTCCATTATCTTCTTAGTTTCTAAACTATTTGAATTCAAAATAAGTATGTTTTGTTTATTCATTAATTTGCTATTTTCTTTGTATAGATTACTAGTCATGAAGAATAATAGGCGATTGGGCGACACACGTCATCTATTGGACATTGGTTTGGTATGGATAAAATTCACTATATATCATTAATTTGGTGTATGTGTGCTTTGAACTAGACATGTAGCCAATTTATATATAAGACATGTTTCAATTTATACTGCCCTAGTTTGTTCAGTCCCCACTATTATTTTTTCCTGGATCCACCCCCGAATCTTGCCACAATATTTGAATCTAGATTAACAGTGCCGTGCACACAAATCTAGATTAGAAATACACCGGTCTCTTTGGACTCTGAGATTAATCAAAAGGGTTTAACTTATGCAGTCACTGAATAGATCGATGAAGATCAGTGAGGCAAAGCAGTGCAGTCACTTGATCTACACCAACGAGTCAGGGAAGATGAAGACGATCGATGTTGTGCCTCCGTGCTCGCAGCGATAACAGGACAGCGATCGAGTCGTTGAAGACGTCGAGCGGCCGCATATTATATACGTTGTCCAGAAACCTTTACACCGCCTCCATGCAGGTGCATATGCAGCGAAGGTTTGAAGACACTGCTCATGAAGATGGTCGTTGCACGACGAGCACCACGGTCAGCTTGGATCTTATGGCAACGCAGCACGATGGCAATAGAGAATGTAGAGAGAAGATGATTGTTGTTCTATTTCTTTTTCAAGGACATCTCTCTGGCTCTTTTATACTGTATTTTTACGGTACAATATACTACAAGTATATATGATCTAATAGTGTAGATTGATTTGATTTTTTAGTTAATTAGATTGCATTATAATGTTTGAAAGGGTAATTTTGTCTTTTCTTCATTATTCTATTATCAGATCATGCTATCGTCACGTGTTTTGTCATCAAATGGCGCTTAGAATGTTCCTTCCCTAGTGTATGATAAGATTTAGGACGAGGTACTCCCAATTAGATTTAATTTGAACAAAAAATTACTAAAGTGTTGTTTTATTTTCTATAAAATTTCTAACATGCCCTTCTATAGTATATTGTACCGTAAAAGTTCTCCTTTTATATAGCTCAATACAAAACGGCAGTCCACGCTCATGTTGCTTCTCTCCCGTCAAAGCCGGATCGGCTCCACGCGAAACGTCGCCACCAAACAGCCACTAGTTGAGGTTGTTGCATCTGCATGCAGGTGTCAATCCATCTGGCACACATATTATGCGGCTAACATTAGGCACTGAAATTAATGAAATGATCAATGTCTACAAGCATATTATTTTCATCAGTTTGTCCTTATGCAGTGTAAGAGCGAGTACAATAACCGGTGATAGTACAACCATCTCAGCAAAACTAATGAACTGGAGAACAGAGAAGAAGAAAGGTGATAGGAACGGGCGACTATTTTGTCGCCAGCTCTACGTGAGCTCCAAGGTGAAAAAGCCAGCAAGGTAGAAATTTTTAACTTTTAAAAATGGTCATGGGTCCACACACAGTGAGATGAATACTATGAAAGATGCTTGTCAGTTGGATCCCACAGAAAAAAAGAAATGCTTCTTGGGGGCTGTGATGTACTGGATAATTTGCTCTCCATATTAACTGTTAGCTGATGTGGATATGGATATCGTCGGTAGCCAGTGATACTATTGAACATGCTCTAAGAGGGATGGAGCTGTACACACAATAAATAGCAATTGTTTTACCACAGCATCATTGCGTTGCAAGTAGAGATGACTAGAACATGGTGATGTTAAATTGTGGTCACATTTTGCATGTAGAGATGACTAGAACATGGTGATGTTAAATTGTGGTCACATTTTGCATGTTAATTTAGACATGTGAATTATTGAGATGTAAAATAGGTTTTGTACTCTGAGTTATCGTTATCGAGTAGGTGACATGCCTCGGCAGGATTCACGTACTCCCTGTTTCTAGTTTGGAATTGTGATTACTATGCCGATAAGGGTAAATAAGGGTTGGTGGTTATTCGAACGTATGCGCATGCTTCCACGATCCCCACACTTATGGAATAACAGCAGATTAGGGAATTAATTGAAGTGCATGTCAAGAAAATATTAAAAAGTTAAGAGAATGTACTTTATTAGGGTCGGTTCATTTAAGATAAAGTATTTCTATTGATATGTATTGAATTAAATAAGAAAAATCGTATCACTTCTGAATAATTTGAATTGTTAGCAAGTAGGCTTAGTTCGAATAGGTTGTTAATTAACTGCAGCTTTTTGATGGCACATAAAACGCAGCAAGTCATTAACACAAGAATTGATGGCACATAAAACGTAGAAAGTCATTAACACAAGATTAATTAAATATTAACTATTATAAATTTGAAAAATAAATTTATTTGATTTTTTAAAGAAATTTCTATATATACTTTTTTGAAAAACAATACTTCCTCCGTCCCTCCTCAGGATTTGTCCCAAAATATAACAACTTCTCCACCAACATTCTCTTTCCAACCAATCACAACCTACCATTCACTTTTCTCAACTACTTCCACTACTCATCCAATCACAACCCTCCACCACTCACTTCTACCTATTTTCTTAATAACCGTGTCTAACCCTAAGACTTCTTATATTCTAGGACGGAGGGAGTATTATTTAGCATTTTTGAGAAACGTGCTAATGGAAAACAAGGTAGCAGCCAAACAGAAATCTGATTCAAACTGAGCTTAAATATGTTGGCTGTAGTCTTCCAACCGGGTAATTAGAATGGAAACTAGCCAATTGATATATAGTATTTAGTATTTACAGATAGATACATATTTGAAAGGTTCAATGTTAACCATCAAATGGCGAGAAAACTGGGCGGTTCGTTTGAAATTACTATTTAATTTGGTATTTTAGAGTTATGGGATAATTTCTATAGCTTAAAAACTTAATATTTACTCCATCCGTCCCAAAATATAACAAATTCTTGCTATATTAGTTAAATATATGTTCAGATACATAGTCAAAAGTTATTATATTGTAAGACAAAGGTAGTATATAGTTTTGAACACGGAAAGAACGATGGAAAAGCGAGCACGCCAGATCAAGGAAACACCGCAGGGGCCGACAAAATAACGTGAAGTATCAACCATACTAGCGTTAAGCGGGCGGAAAGCTTCGTTTCTACTGCTATCGTCCGGCTACAGATGAAGCGCCCGTTCTATTCTCTCTCCTTTTCTCACTCTTCCACCTAGGATTAGGCTAATGTAGATCAATCTACCGCCTGCTAAGTCAGTCTTATTGTACCTGTTCTAAAACCGTCCCTATCCTTTGTCAACAGCTTACGCTCATGCAAGAATGTTGTTTGTCACAGCTTTGCTGCTAGCACACACTTTCGACCCACCAAACCCATTGCCTTGTTGGCCCATGTGAGCTTTTTTCTTTGACACATGGCCAAGGAGCAATGTCCTTTTGAAAAAAAAAAACTGACCACAGTCGTACATTTAGACTGTGTTCTTTCCCCCAACTTTTTCAACTTCTACTTGTTTTTCGCGCGTACGTTTCCCAAATTGCTAGATGGTGTAATTTTTAGAAAAACTTTATATATGAAAGTTACTTTTAAAAATCATATGAACTCATTTTTCAAGTTTTTTTTGGCAAATACTTTATTAATCGTGCGCTAATAGAAAATACCGTTTTCCATGCGGACAGGTGGACTTTCCGAACGCAGCCTTAGAACCTGTCGAGCTAGCGGTTAAACTGTTAGACCAGTAAACGTGGAGCACGTACGGGCAGTTCAATGACCAGTTGGGCTTCTCCAATGAACATTGCAGCCTGCGCTTGGATGCAATTTCAAACCATAACCATTAATCAGTGAAATTACGCCTACGGTATTTAGATTTCACTAACTGTCACCTGTATATTAGAGTGCTGTTATTTCAGTGGTAACAAGCTAACTTGATGAGTAAGCAAATATGAGTAACTGAACGATATCAATATGAGTAATTGAGTAATGGAACGATCTCCTTCTACGATTTTGGTGAGGGAAAAGAGAAGCTTGAAGGTTCAGAAAATCTGAGCCAAAGGAATTTGTGAAAAACAGTTATTTTCAAAAAAAAATGTTTCATAAGATTGATGTACAGGTTTTTCTTCAGATTCATGAGCTTTATCCTCTCATTCGCATGACTCATGAGGAAAAAATCACACGATCATACATACCTTATCAACCATGAGCAACCATCCAGTAAATATTGATATTTGCACAGAGCTGTGATGAAGTCTTGGTCAGTTATTATGAATCTTTTTTTTTGTGTGTATATATATATATATATAGTGCTTGCGCTATGCTAACCTGGCATTCCTCTATGCAGTAAATATCTAGACGAAAAGTAGCAAATATCATCTTAACAGACGGAAAGTAGCAAATATCATCTTAATCTATTTTTAGCAATTCTAATTGAGATATTAGAGAAAACCAAACCAATAACCACTGTACAGTCGATGAATACCCATGTTCATATTTAATCCATTTATTGTTAAGTTAGGGTGTGTTTGAGGAGAAGGGAATTGGGGAG